GCATATGCTGATGCGATAAACAAACACCTTTTGGTGTTGCTTCCCTTCCGGACGCTGATTGAACTTTGGAGACGCACTGCACATAAACAACTGTTGACGGGGATCCAATCGATAAGAGAGGACTCCGCCCTGTTGCTGAGTACGATACCCCGCGCTGACCCACTGAGCGGGCTTCGTCGTCGCCTGATGTGCAAAAAACATATCTCGAAGACAAATCTGGCGTACTCACGTGGCTTATAGTAGTAAGATTCTGGATACGAGTCTCCGACACGCAGAAAAGATCGATCCCCAAGGATTCCATTGTACGCTTGTTGACCTACCTGCATCAGGCTCCTCACGTTGTAGTTCCCCAGATTCAGTGATTGACGAGGCTTTAGAATCTGCAATTCGTTTCGAGATACATTACTTACAGTGCTATTTGGCAACGACCTTTGACGAGCGACATCCAAGTTGCTTGAGGAACTATTACAGGTTGGAAAAAGGGGAAATGGATAGGGCTGGGTACTTAAGACAAAGGTTGGTGCAGTCTCGTCGTGATGGATCATAGTTCCCCAGCTGCCTTCGTAGAGTGGAAATCGCGCTGGTGAACGAATGAATTGGAAGATAGTTTTTAAGAATGATCGGAACTTTCAGGTTCTTCCACTACACCAGATGGTTCACTTTCGTGGCATACAACAAGTAGTATATTTTCACCTTTTACAAGTAGCTTCTTTCAGCCGCTTCACTGTCATTCTGTTCGATTCTACTTTCGTCTTGTTGTAGTCTTGGGCAGTTCACTTTTACCATCTCCGGGTCTCGGCGGTGGGAGTAGTCTTCGCACTTCATTGGACAGCTACCGCCCGCCCAAGCTAGGCACCCCCCAGCCGATAAGGTGCTGTCCCGTCCACGTTCCGCTTGTCTCATTAGGTGCATGAGGCTAAGGGCTGATCCCGAAAAGCGAACCGATAATCACCGCACCAGCTGGAACAACAAACTAAATCGAAATTCGAAGGCCTTGCGTGACAGGTCTCTAGAAGCTCCCACACTGATTCTTCGTTCAAGCTCCCGCATTGGATTTACGCCCCACTGCCTTGTGGGGCAGACGTTTAAGTGATAAGCCCCGGTTAGGGTTCCCAAATAAAACCCCTTCGTCGATGTGGGCTACCGCGAAGTATGTCGTGCCCTAAAGTCTTGTAAAATCACCTTTCCCATCTATCTAGTTCTTCTCAATCCCAAATAATCCCAGATGCCTCCTGTTTACGCCACCCATCGATTGTTAATCAACGTTTTACAAGCAACGCCAGACAATCAGAAGCTACAGGATTTTCAAAGCCAAAATCCCCTTTTCACTTGGCCGCGTTCAATGTCCGCACACTCTGTCAGATCGGTCAACAAGCTGCCTTGGCTAGAACCCTCGAAACTTTCAATTTAGATGTATGCTATGTCTCCAAAACAAGCATACAAGACCCTACTTCCGTTATATTCCTGCGTTCTTCTAATCCAACCTCAACCTCACGCTTCACCCTTCCTGTGTCAGGCGATTCGGCATCCGAAGCTCGCGGTGTCGCTGGTTTTGGGATTGCGCCATCACGACGAGACTGCACCTTGACGTGGTGTGATGGCTTGCGCGCCTCAGTGACC